TTCACCCCAAGGATCAAAAACACCTTGCTCATCAGCAAAGAGGCCACGGAGAAGAAGCAGTCAGTGGCAGGACCACCAACTGCAGCTGCCCAAATATTTCCCCCTATGGCTAGTCGGCGCTAACGCTTTATTCCCCCGCACCTAGGCAGGTGTCCACGCCTCACCTGTGCCATCCACCGGCGCAGTGACAGGGCGACCCCTGGTGGCCAAACCGAGGAGCGCAGAAGTCTGACCTGTCGCCCGTACTCCCATTACAATCACCCTCGCAGTTTCCACATCCATCGTTGCTGTCACCTCCACGCACATCCTCTGCCCCAGGCTCGAGCTGTCTATACGTTTGTGTTTTGCTATTACGTAAAAAATGTTGAAACACTGTTTGAATCACGATTCCCCTCCCCTTTTGTTCTTTGCTTTCAAATGTAAAAATTGAGCCTGGATGTCATTTTTGAGATCATGTTCCAATCTAACATCTTTCCTTTCCCTCCTTCGCACTTCTACTTGCAGTCATCTTTGTAAAAATTATCATTTTTATTCCTTTATTTACAGACCATAGTAAAAAATAAATTGGGTTTTGACAGAGCTGTATGTGAATTGTATATGACAAAAAGGTGTATGTAGAAGAGGTCACCTTTTTCAACTGCCTACAATTAAAGCAAAACCTATGTAAATTATTTAAATCAGCTTTTCTCTCTATATTTTCCTTGGTTCCTCAGGGTCATCTTTCCCAACGTTCACAAGGGACAGTGGCAACTTCTATATAGAAGGCCAGGAAACAGCTGAACCTTAAACCATTTGACAACCTAGAGCTTTTTTCATTTGAGTGATACATGCTGACAATTAAAACTAAATTCAAACATGTAAACTACAAATTAAGTACAAGGAATGCAAAGACAAGCATCTCAGTTCATCTTTTAGAAGCAATCACTGTCACAAAACTCAGGTTTCACATAGAATCTGTGTGTGTATAATACACGTGAAAAACAAAACATACACATTTAACAGCATCTTGTTCACTTAACAATCTATATATACCTACTTATATTCTTTATTTCATTCTCTTGGATAACTTTATATTAACACTTTTATTGTATTTTCTGATATGCAACATAACTCTTTATCTAGTACCTCTGACTATGGGTAAAATGTTAGTTTTTTTACTCTCCTGTCATTATGGGGGATGTTGCAATGAATGTTCTGTACATGTCTAAAATTCCTGATTTGCAATTCCAAAGTTCAAAGTGAAAACAAGTCTTTTCAAATTTCTGGCATAATTGACAGCTTAACTAGATCTCAACAGAAAACTATATCTAGTCTTTAGACTACTTGATGTAGATGAAAGTGTCTTTTCAGCTGATGTATCACGGGGCTTGATTACAGGTTTCTATCCCAGCTCCCACTAGTCATTACAAAAACAGTATTGTGTGCACCAACTTATCTTTCTAAAACTTAAGCAATTTTAAGTTCTAAAGGTTTTAGACAAGTGATGGCTTCTACAGATATATTTGTACATATTTATGAATATGTATCTTAAGAATAAATTTGAAAACAGAGTTGCTAAGGATATGTGCACATAAAATTTTGATGTTGCCGAAGTGTTCAGGGAGTTTGTATCACAAACAAAATGAAAATGCCTATTCTTTCATATCCTGAAAAAAACCTTTGGATATCTGCTAACATAGTTAAGTGAAAAGATGACCGGTCATGAAGTTTTTAATTCATTTTAATATAGGTGAGATGAAGCATCTTTAATATTTACTATTGATTCACATAAATTATTATTGACTGTCCATGTTTCGATTTTCCTTCTCCTACATGTTGATGTCTATCTTGATTTCATAATTTATTGTGAAGTTTGAATTCTTTTATAATCATATATATTCATCATTAATCAAACTGAAACTTACCTTGCTGTAAAGTAATACATTCATTTTTCACTGCTTGCTGCCATAATGAACTGTTACAAGTATTGGTGAATAATTACTGTGGGTCAGTAGTTCAGGACAGTCAACTAGATTTTTTGCTCACACTTTCCCTGGGCTAAAATTGAAGTACTTGTCAGGCAGATCTCTTTCCGGAGTCTCAGTACAATTCAAATCTACCTTCAGGTAGGTCCTTACCAGGACCCTCCTCTTTTCACAGTGAATCTAAGGTCTCTGTTTCCTGCTGTTTGCCAGGTAAAGGGGCAGCCTCGCCCTCTACAGTTCAACCTCTGGCACTGCAATTGTAGACTTTGGCTAGTCTATTTCCCTCATTGACAAGTCAGTGGCTTTGGTCCTTTTCAGTTTTGGCCTATCTCAATTTTCTATCTACTTGTGATTTTCCTTGTTTTAAATTTGTCACTTTTCTTGAATGTGGCGGTCATGTTTTCTATCAATTGTGATAAAAGCTCAGCTTTTGCATGTTCAAAGACTGCTCAATATTCTCAATTCTCTCCTTCTAGAATACCTATACCATTTTGAAATGTCTCCTTCTATCATCCACGCCCTGATTCTATGTTTTGAAAACTCAGTAATGCAGTGTTCAATACCTACCACCTGTGGTATGAAATAATAAATAGTAAATCCATAAATGAAATAATTTATAGTAAATCCATCATGGAAATCAGAACAAATGCACCTGTCTCTAGGAAACTGATTAGCCAGTTTTAAGGGGAGAAAAAGCAGGCATCTCCTAGAGCCCAACTATCTAGCAGCTGAACATTCAAAGTAGTAGCCAAAGCTCAGATACAAAACCAGCTAATTCTAGTCATTTTAGGAAAGAACCAATTGTTGAGGTACAGTATTCAGTGTTGTGGGGGAAGGGGAGAGACAATGATTTGCTCTCTATGAGGCAGAATAGCAGCCTACTGACACAACATTAGTGATATGAAATCAGGATGTAGTTCATGTTTAAAGGCTCCTTTTAAGTGCTTAATGCAAAACAGAATGTCATAATGACTTATACAGATTGTATATTCACATGGTCAAAACCTCATAATTCTACAACATCTGCGAAGACCCAACATTCAGCAAACAAGTCACTCTTCAGTCATAGAGAAGTGATCGCTCCGTGCCTAACACTAGCATTTGAGCTTGACATTCTAGCTTGCTAATCTCTAATGGAGACATTATCATCACAGTTCTCAAAACAATGTTCTTTATTCACTTACATATATTACTATAGTTGGTGCTGGTTCATTCCATATCCACAAACAGAGAAAGCAGAGTATTAATTCCTCTACTTTGCAGGTAAGAATCCCAATAAAGTAATAAAATTCATCTTCTAAACTGATGGGATAAGTGAAAGGCAAAGTAGTTCCAATTTCGCCCATGACTCACAAGGCAGTGGTGACTGGTCGTGTCAAGGACTCATAGAAGGTTTAGCTCCACTTTAAAAATCCTCTAGCAGCAAAATTCAAGAAATCATAACAAAAAGTGGTACTTTAAAATGAAGAGATTACAGATTTTTTTTCAATTTTACCAACTCAAATTTTACTTATTTTATTATATTTCAGGTGTCATGTTGGTTTCATTTTGGGTAAAAACACCTGGGCTTTTGAGCTTGTCTTCAGATTGTGTAAATTAAATCCTAACTTTCAACTTAGGGAACAAGTAGATATCCCATCAGCAATTATGTCAGTGGAAATTTTATTGCAGCAATGTGAGTAAATCATTCTTTGATCTAAGGTTATATTCATTAAAATATGATCGTGAAAATGGGTTCATCTTTAATCACCAAACTTGCAAATGGTGTTAAAGGTCAAGTCCAATATCAACAAGGGCTACACCTCAATATCAAAAAAAGATACTTATAAAATAAAACTCATGTGGCTCCAACACGTACACAATTTTGTTCCTGCGGGCATCTAGATTAGGATTCTAACCATCCCAAGATTGTTACAAACAATACGTGGGGAGAGAAATACAGCCAAAATACATACAAAAGTCACTGAGAAGAGAAGAAACACAATTCAGAACGCCACTCAAGAGAAAGGGCAGTGTTTTCTCTAACTATGGGGCAGACCAAAGAGGACAGATATGTCTCTGGGTCACGATTACCCAAGTGACACAAACTATGCAACCTCTGTCGTCAGACACGGTATGGATGGAGAGGAAATGCTCTGAAAAATCAGACTTTCCACTGCTAACTTATGTTATGACCTCCCTTTTTTGTATAATCGTAATATCAAAATATTCTGAGCAACTTTCAGCTTACAATTGGATTGCCTCAGCCGCATAAGGCCTGCCTGGCCCTGACAAGCAAGCACTGCACCGGGGTGAGAAATTCCTCTGAAGTCAAAAGTAACTTGACAACAGGCTGATCAATAAAAGCAAAAGGGCTGTTTCTGCAAAGTCTCTCTCACTGCCAGATGGAGGAAAACCCAAATCTCATCACTCTACTATTTTACCTAGGCTTCTATTCAGCTTCTAAAGAATTACTCAAACTTCCTACTGTCTGGCTTTTAGATGTGGAAATTCATCCAGGTTGCCTGTTTTAGAGCTAGTCAGGTTTTCTACATGCTACACTTCAAAGGTATTCACACAAGTCTTCTGGCTAGTCTTTCAGGATTCTACTATCTAGTCTTTAGATAAGGAAATTCACCTATGTCTCCTATTCAGAGCAAATTATGCTTTCTACTGTATAGACCTCAAGGAAACTCACTTAAAACCATTTAGCAAGTCTCTTCAAAGAACTTTTCTGAAATTTGATTTACAAGAAATTTCCTCTTCCTGCCTCCCAAGATGTCTCAGGTAGAAAACAAAACAAAACAAAACAAAACAAAAACCATTAAGTAGTAGTTAAGGTTTAAGGGACTTTATTTTAGTTAATCTTCACTATAGTATTATTAGTCTTAAACTTTGTGCATCTACGTGCCTGTTTTTAACCTTGATTGATTTTAGAATGTTATAATCTCAAGTAAAGGTCAAAACGACCCCAGACTATTCTTAGCAAAAAGGTGATTGTGATCTCAGCCCCTTTCGTATGCTAATGTCATCTCCCTCAGCCTGCTTGAAAAGTATAAAATAAACCTCTGCTGAAGGCAGAGCAGGAAGATTTGCACCCAACTCCTACTCCCATGTCTTCCTCACTCCTGTGCCCTTTATTCCCCAGTTTTGGAATATCGCCTCGCCAACGTCGTTCTCACCTTAAGACCCTGCCTGTGTCAGCCTCTCAACATCCTGAAATCGGGGTTGGTCCCTGCCACCCAAGAGCACACCCAGTCCATGTAGCCTAGCTTGGGCTGAGTTGGCAGAACATACACTAACAGATACTCTGTTGTGTGATCCAGCAGAGTTTTGATGTGACACCATTCTGGAGAATAACTGTTCTTTTTTTTGTTTTGTCAATATTTTCTTCATGTGCATACACACACTACAGTCTTAAAGGTAAACAATAAAGGAAGGGAAACAGACCACCAGAGTTCATAGTTCACCACAAATGCATGTCACCCAGCTCAAGAAAAACCAGCACGGTCCAGGAAGCACAGCAGATGCACAAAGATCCAGAGCATCAGCCCTGGTTATCTGTTTTCTCAATGGTAACCCTAATATGCCTTCCCAAGTCCAGTAAACTCTGATAAAATTTTTCAGCAGTATCTTCATCTAGGTCCATCTGGAAAAGAAGCAAAGATAGGGATGACTAAGAAGGAAAAATGAAATGAACAGTATTTGTATAAAAGAAAGGTTTTGATTGATTGAAAAAGATACCTGCACCCCCATGTTTATTGCTGCTTTATTTATAACTGGAAAAACATGGAGGCAGCCCAAATGTTCAAAAGTAGATGACTGGATTAAAAAGATGTGGTACATATACACAATGGAATATTACTCAGCAACCAAAAAAGAGAAACACATGTCTTTTGCAGCAACTTGGATGGAAAAGATCATGCTTAGTGAGATAAGCCAGAAAGAGAAAGAAAAATACCAGATGGTTTCACTCATAGCAGGAGTATAATGGACCAGGTGAGAAAATAACAAGAATAATGAACAACCATATACCAGAGACATTTTGTGGGGGTGGAGTGGGGAATGGGATCAAAAATGGGGGGGGGGGGGGAAGTGCACGGGATTATGGTGATGGCACATGGGTGACTTGGTGATGGGAAACCCGTGGGGATTACAATTGAGATGAAAAAAAAAAAGTACAAAATGATGTAAAAATGAACTGTTATAAAACAAAAACAAAATCAAAAAACTCTCAGTCACTTTGACTATTGTTCTCCTATTATTGCCTGGATGTTAAGAGGTTGGTTTCAAAGCAGTGATGCAGTGATGCAGTGATGGGACTTAATCAATTAAATAAAATAACCTCTAATGCCTGTCATAAAGTTGGTGCTCAGAAAAGTTTGTTATCTTAGCTTCATTTGGACATTTTGTGTGACATGTTGACATATTAACTATCAATAACTGTATTTTGTGCCTAGACGTCTTTTTTTTTAATTTTCTCAGAATTCAAAGTTTCCTAATTTGAGATTATCTAGTGATGCTTTAGGGAGCTTAAATTACATGACTGTACTTTTTTACTGTATAATTTTAATCAATGATCACAACATTCAAGCAAATGGATTTTTTTTATAATATAACAGTTTATTTTTACATCATTTTGTACACTTTTTTTCATAAAAAAAGGTTTTGGATCTGGGTATTATGCTAAGTGAAATTAGTCAGAGGAAGACAAGTACTATATGATTTCACTCACACATGGAAGGTAAAGGAATAAAGCTAATGAATAAACAAAACAAACTCGTAGACTCTAAGAGCAAAATATTAGTTACCTGAAAGGGAGGGGAAGAAGGTTGGGTAAATTAGGTGAAGAGACTGACTATATGGTGAAGGATGGAAATGAGACTTTTGATGGCAAACATAATGCAAAATATGCAGATGCTGATTTATAAAGCTGCATTCCTGAAACCTACCTAATATTATAAACAAATGTTTTATTTTACATTTAAAGACCCAGCAACCTCATCAAATGTTAAAACAAACAAAAAACCCAACTGATTGATTGGTAAAAATCTTCTCAAAAAGGAAAGTGTCCTATATATGCAAGAGTATTTTAATGGCAGGAGGACAGGGACCAAGAGGGAGAAGCACTTGTGGTGACTGCTAGAAAACCATGAGATCCTAAGATATAATTCATTTTCAGTCCACATTGTAGCACTTCTCTTAACAGTTTCTGACCAACGAAATGCACTGCAACTTGAGTGGTACCACCTACAAGAGATGGCCTCCTTTCCTTTTCTCTTCCTACAGAGGGCGCTCTTGAGGTGCAGGATGAGGCCCACACCCAGAGATGGCAGTGCTGTGACTGGGAGGAACCTGGAATTTCTGGAGCTGCCATGCCAACCCAAGCCTGCCTCTTTCCAAACTGTTTTTACATGTAAGAAATCTAAGCATATCTGTTTAATCCAGCTATTTTACATTGCTCGGTTCCAAGTAAAACTTTAATTTTAACCATACATTATAGGTAAAAGCAAACTTCCAGTCCCTATAAAATACTCTTTTTAAGTCAATATAGCACCTAAACTTCAAAACCAGGATCTTCCTTCACAAAGCTGAAAAGTTAAACATTCAATAAAATTTTATGTTATGGAAGTACCATTTCTACTCAGTCACATTAGAGTTTTTCTACATTAGAGTTGAAAGAAGCACAAGAGCTCTTCCGGTTCAGCCCTTTTTAACAGAGTAGGAGGCTGACCTTCCCAAATGAATCAAAGGTTAAAATGCTTTCTTCATTCATTCAGTGCCCTTCCAGAAAATGCTAATGAAATACTTTGCTTGAATTAAACATCTTCTCCCCAAATCATCCCCTCAATATTAATAGACAGTAAATTCAAACAAACTCCAAGGGTTGAGAAGTAATTTACAGTAGAATCCCCAAAGTATACTCTTTAGGATGTTATCATTATCATAAATTCTGAAGAAAAAAGTCATCTAGTCAAGAGCAATTTGGAAACACATTTCAGACATACTTAATTATTTCAACTTCTCACTAGGCTAATGTGAAACATTTCACAAATGCACTTGCCTGGCAAACCGATTTTTGAAAATCTTCTCAAGGAACAACTACCTCACAGAACATATTTTGGAAAACACTGGAAGTTCATTTTTCGTAAATAGACACCATGGGAAAAGGACAGCCTGCTTACTACCTTTAGAGCTCATGCTACTGACGTACAGATAAAGGTCAGTGCCCATCATTTCACTTAGTTGCGATAACGCTTTTGCCTTAATCTAATTTTATTTTATGCCAATGCCTCTAAAGGAAGGTATGCAGGAAAAATAGGAGGTCAAAATAAACATTATGACAAACAGAATTCCTCAAGTTCAAAATAAACATTCTCATTTCCTAATGCCTAATATGTGACTTTATGTTTAACGTCTTTAAAAATATAGTATCCCAAAACAGTCTTGAGGTTTTTTCCATACCACCAATCTTTTAACATCTATAATTATCACAAGCAGAATTGCACATTCAAAAGGAAGTTAGCATCGCTCAGGAAGTAACTTGCTGTTTCATACAACTTGCAACAATTTGATTGAGTACCTACTATGTGCAAGGTAAAGTCCTCCTCCTCAGAGCTTATTTTGGGCAGTAGAGTCCAATGTTGAAAGAATGTTATACAACACAGGCATAAGATGTCAAGGATACAAAAAGGACATCTGAACTGACACAGGGAACACAGAGGGCTGAAATACAAGTTGAGATCAGACAAGCAGATATTACTCAGTCGAAAGAAAAATAAGAGCACCTCAAGTAGGAAGATGCACATAGGCCCAGAGGAAGGAAAGGGCAGTGAGAAAGGAAAACAGGCCAGGGTAAGGCCAGTGAACAGAGGTGGCACTCAGGCAAGCAGGGACCAGACCTAGGCCTAGCTGCAAAACTCTTCAATGAAACAATGTTAACACATTTACCTTTTGGGTTACTACATAATTGCTTCCAAACCCCGTGGTGGCACTGAGATACTTGATGAAAGGATTGAGAGACTCTGGTTTTTGGTGGAAAAGCCATACCTAGAAAGGAAGAGCATGTCAATGGCTTTTTTCTGCTGTCCAAGATGACTAAGGCTGGTGGGGGCTATTTGCCATGGTACTTAACAGAGCTCCAAATAAACTCTAGATCCTCTTGAATGTCATCAAGAGCTCCAAATAAACTCTAGATCCTCTTGAATGTCATCAATTAATGGTGAGCCCTTCGTGAACCATCACTCTACTGTGAAAGAAATAAGGCAGATGGCTTCTCAGTGCCCTTGGAAATTTTATTGAAATTCCCCTACCCAAAAAAGAGCTCCTATTTTAGCTGTTTCTTCCTTTAATTCCCAAATTAAAGTTCATAGCATGTAGATTAGTTTATTCAGGGTTGACACTCAGCTCATGCCACAGAAAAGTACAGGTCACTGATATAATTTTTTGTCTTATTAACAGATAAGCATGTACGTAGACAATGTTCAAGAGATAAACATGCAAAATGTAAGTTTCCCTCCCTCCCCAGTTTTCTAGCTACCTAGCTCTCCTTTCTGGAAGCAAGTCTCTTAATAACTTGTATATTCTTCCAAAGAAAATCTGTTAGCTTAAAAACATATATACCCTTTACTCTTACTCAAATGAAATTAAAATTTAAGTACTAATCCTCATTTCACATTTTTCACTTGAGTAACAGGTCTCAGAGAGACTTCCCATTCAAGCTGTGTACAGCTGTTTCATTCCTTTTCACAAACACAGTATTCAACCGCATGGATATACTACCACTTATATAATTAGTGTCCAGTGGTAGACATTAAGTTTGGACAAAGTTGTTTACAGTCTTTGCTGTTACAAGCTGTATAGTGATAAATGACAAATTCACTATTTCATAGAAGTCAAAGTATATAGCTATGAGATACCAAAGATGGAATTGCTGGGTTAAGGATATACACATTAAATAATTTGGTCTTTCCAAAGAGTCCTTGCTACAGGTTACATCAGTTTACTCTCCCCCAGCTCATTTTCCTATGTTCTTGTCAATGTACTGTCTGATCTAGCTTTCTAATCTTTGCTAATTTTAGCTTTAATCTGCATACAAGAGAGTGATATCTTTTCATATAATTAAAAGTTTAAGAGCTCTCTGATTTTGTCCTCTGTCATTGTTCCAGTGCGCTATTTCTTGATCTATCAAAGCTCCTTAACTATTAAGAAGATTAAATTTTTACCTCTGATATGAAGGGCACACACTTGTCTTCCCAATTTATGGTTAGTCTTTAGAGCATATGTATAGTATGATTTTGGTCATGCAAAATTCTTTTACTTAGTCAAAATTTTTAGTCTTTTATTTTGTGACTCCTAACAGTAGCTGAACTTCCAAACTCTTAAACATTTAAAAATTTCCCATCTTCTAATAATCATATATTGTAACTTTTATATGTAAACCCTTTAATCTATCTCGGAGTTTACTTTGACATAAGGTGTGAAGAAAGGATCCTATTCTATTTTTGGCAACAACATTTGCTGAGTAGCCCATTTTAGTGTAGAAGGCCATCATTACCATAAATATTCCCAGTATGCTGTAAGCCTATTTCTAAACTTTCTATTTTATTCCAATAGTTGTCAGTTCACATGCCAGAACTACAATGTTTTCATTAAAATCAATTTCTTTTCGATCTTAACTATTCTTCAACTGCTGACATGCTTTACAATGAGCCTTTTCACATTTACCCCTAATGGAGTAACAGGCTATGCTGTCTGTCCTGCCCAAATCCTGTCTCTCCTTCTGGCCCGGGTCCAGCCCTTCTTAGTAAGCAAAGTATTTGCAACTTCTTCAGTGATCCTCTTTTCTGATTATTCCTAGAGTTTTGACCTCCTGATGATATAGTGTCTGATTTTCTATTTCTCCACATTCACTTTTTTTTCTAAACATGACTCTAAGCTCCTAAATAAGTACATATTTCTATCGTCTAACTATTCCCTGCACACTAATACTTTATATATTTAACTTCTAGATATTCATTGTCACAGACATGCAGAGTAAATAATCTTTAGATTTATGCATTTGTATTCCTAATGGCTTGGCAAATATAGGAAGGACTGATTAAAATGAGTTCAAAAGCACTTGCTTCTATAATCAACTCATGTCCCTACAAAAATCTGCATTTATTTCTGCAATGTTTGTCAAAATAAGACTGTCAGGTCAATTCCCTTAATGTTTTCCTTAATGTCAACTCAGCTAAGACTTAAAAATCTACTAAATATAAGCTCTATATCGTTAGGCCTCAAGTTACCAAAGTGTATGGCAAAAATCCTGAAGGAGCTCAAAGAAGTGAGGGAGATAGAAACACAAAGAACTGACTGTAATACAATGAAATATCAACCAGATGGTATAAAAAGCAGATAGCAAATTATACTCATCTTGTATGACAACGCTGACCCATTACTAGAAGTTATTTTGGGGGACTTGGGTTGAAAATATTCAGGTATTATATTATAGTGAACAACAGAAAATAGTGTGATCCATCAAGAATTATCTGCCACTGATAAGCAAGCACACACAAGGCCTTTGCCATATGTGATTTGAGGACCTGGCTACAAAGAAAGTAACAACTTTATTTTCTAACATGGGCAGAGGAGAAGAATCTTCACGTAAGAAAAATGGAGCTCGACTGTTGCATCTACTCTTCAGTATTTTCTCCAAGCCAACCTCTCACTGGGTGCCTGGCCACTACCTTCCTTTGCCTACCCTCTAGTGTCCCAGTTCTACTGCTCCTCTTGTGTATTTGGTTCTGCCCAAGGGCTGCATTTATTTCTGCACTGTTATCCTGTCATTGTAGCCAGCAGCATCACAGATATTAAACTTTCAAACTTCACTCCTGTTTCCCTCCAAGGGAAACGCTTACCTTCAAGGCTCACCTTAGCCCTTAGTAGGGCTTTGATTACTCACAGGACTTCTCTTGGTATCTTTTCTATTGAGATTGTTCAATGACCAGAGACCTTACAATTTACATTTGCTAAGCCTTTAAAAGCCATAGAAACAGGGCCCTCCCTGGTGGTACAGCTGGTTAAAGCACAGCACTAAGAAGCTAAAGCCACTTCAGCATGAGTTCATCCCCGCCTGTCCCAGAAGTGACCCACGTGGCGCGGCAGACCTCTCCTGACCCGCCCGCTGCTCACCTCAGCAGTGTGCTTCTTTGATCTGCCTGTTCTGCCCCCCACTCTGTCTCTGGTGAATCCTCTCACTGCCCCCACACCTCTGGCCTGTACCCCAGTTCTGTATGAATAAATAAATCTTAAAAAAAAAAAAAGTCGGCCCTCCCTGGTGGCGAAGCGGGTTAAAGCACTGCACTGAGAAGCTTAAGCCACTTCCGCAATGAGTTCGATCCCCGCCTGCCCGGGAGGAGATCCACATGGCACGGCAGACCTCTCCTGACCCGCCCGCTGCTCACCTCAGCAGTGTGCTTCTTTGATCTGCCTGTTCTGCCCCCCACTCTGTCTCTGGTGAATCCTCTCACTGCCCCCACACCTCTGGCCTGTACCCCAGTTCTATATGGATAAATAAATAAATAAATCTTTAAAAAAAAAAAAAAAAGTCATAGAAACATAGTAACATACCAGTGCTTCTGTCCCATTGAATGGTGTCAAAGTGAAAGCATGAGCAAAAAAGCGAAGCTGAGGAAGAGAAAACAATGTTCATTTTGGTGGTTTAGAACAGTGTCACAAAAATATCATGCCCTTCTATATTAAAAAAAGAAAACCTCATTGTAAACACTATTATAAAACATTTCTTGTTATAAAACATCAAAAAAAAAAGTGTGAAAGGAAGTATCACTTAATCTCCACTGCTCTAAGTCAACCATTTGTAATACAAAGGTAGATTTTCTTCTCATCTTTTTTCTATGCCTACTGTAAGCATAGAAATGACATCTTTTTTTCCCTTTGAGCTCTTTCCCAGAAGTAGTATTTTCTCATGTGTGTTGAAGGAACACTGGCTCTGCAAGATGCTCAGAGCACAAAAGAAAACAAAGAGAAACAGGCTCTGGTCCTATAGTACATAATCTTACTCTTCTAGGGAACTTTTCAGACACAGCACATTCCATGCTCATAGAAATCCAGTTTAATCGCATCACACAGGTGTTCCCAAATTACATCATCACAGAACTCTCAGAATCTATAGTGTACAACCAGAAAAACCTTCATGAGAGAGCGGCTGACACTCAGAGGATGGTGCAGTGCAAACAACAAGGAGTATGAAGCACTGGTGATGCAGCAAGGGACTTTAAAAATTGAGCGAAATCCAATTCTCCACTTTTGGTTTCAATTTCTTAAACCATCCCTCAACATTTTAATACTTCTAGGTTTTGTCCCAAGGTCTCAAATTAAGCTTAAGTAACTTATCGCTTACCAGCCATATAAAGGGCATAATCAGTGTCCACAGAAGGGGAGGTAGAATCCCATATGTCAAATTCGTCATCATTGTCCCTGGACACACCACACAGGAATACAGGCCCTGAGAGCACACAGAGATGCAGCAGTGAGGTTTTCACTCCGTGTATACCACCTCAGTCCAGCTTTATATGCTTAATAAAGATGACACACAGATAAGCCAGGATGTATGCTGAGTTGTCTTGGAAGCTGGGTAGACCATTTCCATTTAAGAATCAAGTTGGGAGAGCTCACTAGGAAAGGCTCTCAGGATACAAAAATAAGTAAGACGTCTTTTTGTCAAGAAACTGACAGTATAAAGAAAAACCAAACTTGAACTAGAGAAGAAAAGTAGGGCTTTGTTACCTGAGTTTTCCATGTTACTGGCTAAACTGAAGGTAAGTTGATCAGTCATAATAAGCATTTAAGATAAAAAGACATACGAAGTGCAGTCTCTGCCTTAAAAAAGTTTCAAATCTAGTAAATATTTGCCATGGTCTGTTTCTAGACACATAAATAAGACACACATGTAGCCTAAAGTGGGAACTCATGTCACCAAGGAAGGAGGAGGCGTTGCATGGGGTTCCATGGAGAACTCCAGCTGTAGATCTCTACAGCAGGTCTAGTCTAGGCCTCATCATTTCAGCGAGGTCTGTCATGTAGAGAGAGCCTGAACTGACACTGAGTTTATGTCAACAGAAAGGGCCTGTGCCATTTGGGGGCACTTACTCTGCTATTTTATTTAGTTTTATATTATATGTCACTTTGATATGAACAATTTTAACTCATTTTTATTACCTTTAATACATTTTTTAAAAGAAAAATAGGATGCTCCAGCCAGAAAGAGAAAGAAAAATACTGGACGGTTTCACTCATAGCAGGAATATAATGGACCAGGCGAGAAAATAACAAGAATAATGAACAGCCATATACCAGAGGCATTTTGTGGGTGTGGAGTGGGGAATGGGATCAAAAACGGTGGAGGGAGGGAAATGCACTGGACTGTGGTGATGGCACACGGGTGATTTGGTGACGGGAAGCCCACGGGGATGACAACTGAGATGGAAAAAGGCGCAAAAT